TGATAGGATTTTGGAGGTAATATTTTTATAATTCTTATGCTAATGCATCACCAAATTTTTTAGTTTGTTCCCAATTTTAGTTCTAGAGTATTACATTTTCTAAGCTGGTCAATTGACTTTACAAAATTAATTCAAAATATTCCCTTATAAGGAAATTGTGATACAAAATTGATCTCAATTTAGTCCCTATGGGATCATTTTGGATCATTTTGCATGGTCAATGAAATAAATTAAGGAAACAAAATACTTTGGGCTTAAATCATATAGTAATAGTCAGGAGACTATGTTGGATATGAAACTTTTGTTGAAACTTTCCGCTCTTCTACACACACACACATTGTGTGATGATCTTCAATCTTATATGCATTAATCTTGTTTATACACCATGTCATCATTCCACCTATGAAGTGTTTGCTTGCTATGAAAATATGTTGGGCCGAGCTTTTAGATGTTTTGAGAACCGGATGTTTGATGGCAGTCATTATTGCATCATATAAAAATGACACCACCTTCATGCAAGTTTTGGTGTATAAAATCAAGCCCATCTATACTCATGCTTTTGAAAATTGACGCCTTTATGCACGTATCGATTTATGAGATCAAACCCATTGACGGTCATTCTTTCGGTGATTGCTAGCGCTCAATTTTTATGTTTAATCTCTCCTACTCCATTGCTTGTTTCACTCGTTCACCCCCTCGCTTTTTTTCTCAATCTATTCAACTTCTAGCGCTCAATCAACTTCCCTGCCTTGCTTTTTCTCTTCTTAGAGGAATTGACTAGTATCAGCTGAAAGGGCTAGAAGCATGAGGATGCATGTTACATTGCTTAAGGAATTAGATGAAGGATAAGCTAGCACAGAGGTAAATCTTCCTTTTTTTTGGATTTTTATTGGTGTGCCTATGGAATCTATTTAGTGTACTTGTTTTAGTTATGGACTTGATGATAGACCTAATTAAAAGTTTTCAAATTACAAAAATTTAAAGATTATTAAGAATAGTAGTGCTAATTTCAATGAGATTGTAATGTACAAAGATATATCTAGCAATAGTTGAGCTATATAAGATTTTAGAGGATTTTGTACAAATAGGTTTGGGTAATAATATTGAGATACAGACGAAGTTGAGCACGCCTTTGGCTAAGTTAATAAGATTTAATTGATGCTGCAATCAATGTAAAATATTCTCAGTCCTCGTGGTGCTTGTTGTTCAAAATTATTTTAAAATTAGTGAAATATAAAATTTATTTTGTAGAGGGACTTATTAATAGATAGAAGTGTGGAGCTGAAACATCCTTGATAATGAGTTGTTTTATAGAGCTTATATCAAACTAATCGAATAGTTAAAGAGCATGTTACTAAACTAACAAACTTGCATATGATATATTGGTTCATTTATATCAATGTATTTGCTCATTATATATTAAATCATACAAAATATGCTGAAAATTGGTAAAATAACTATGTGAAGGGACACACATGAATAATTAGAGTATAACTCAAAATTTTTTATAGTGTAATTATCCACTACCATCCCTCCCTTCATGCAATCAAGGCTTCATATTGGTGGAAAAATTTGTGATCAGGAGCATGAAATATAAAAATACATCTGATGCACAAAATATTTTTTTCAAAGCAACAATACATTATTTATAAACTACTAGCCATTTATATAGAAATACAAACCATAGTTTTTATTTTACTAAAAAACACCCATAAATCATTTTTCTAAGGCAATTTGAGCTTCTTGTACTTGCACAATATATCTTCTTACTATGAATAAATGTCATACACTCATAGATTTTGACATGAAGAACTCAATTTTTTTTCCAATAAGACACCAGGTTGCGATGAATCATTGGTGCTCGGTAGTGATTTTCTTTTGGTTTCCATTGCGAGTTACCTCTTAACACCAATTTGTTATTTTTATCCTTGTGTTGGGTTTGCTAATTTCAGATGTGGTGATGCTAATATTGTGGAGGTTCCAGTTGAAATAGAAACACCAGACCACCACTACTATCATGTATGTGATATGAGACTAGTCACTGAAACATTTTGTTATATGTTGTGTCTCATCATTCTTTAATTTGAAACAATTTCATATCTTTTGTATTTCTCATGGCAGCTGGCTTTTTTTACTGTTAGAAAAGTTGAAGGCTCTCGAGGAGCTAACTTGGGTAAGAAAAATTCTCTCAGCTATTTTTTGTTAATCAATTATGTTTTTGGTCAAGTAATGTCTTGAGCTGATCAAGGTTTAGTAAATTTTGGTTCGGTCCCAATCAAATATTGATCTGAAACTGCTTTAAACCTATCGCAAAAATGGATCTGATTTTTGCTGAAACTGAAAAATATAAACGTTCTTTTCCTATGCATTTGGCTTAATGTTGAACACTTTTGTTGTGCTATCCTGGATCCAGTCTTAGTATCTTAATTTCAAGCATAGTTTTACTACTATCAGCTGTATCAGACTGCCAGATTTCACCATGGAATTACATTTTTATCTTTGGTGATTTATTGTGTGTGTGTGTGTCTTTGTTTTTCTGTCTGTCTATTTGTCTTTGTCTGTGTGTGTGTGATTTGTGCTTTGCGTCACTTGTGGTAAATCTGACAAAAATTCTCTTTGTTAAATTTGATGCCTCGGGATTATGGAATTGATTTTGATGAACAGACTCACCCTATAAAAGCCTTCTCATGTTGTTGTGGTAGCAAGGTCTGTCGTGACAAAACCCAAATTAGTAAGTTTTAATTCAAAAAAGTGAGAATTACGGAGCAAGGTACCAAAATAGTCCCCGACTATTTACATGGGACTGCTTAAGTCTTAGAGGTTATAGAAGTGTCAGAATAGTTTCTAAACTCTTTAAATTGGGTCTGAAGTAGTCCCTATTAAGAACAATCAAAACTCAATTTTATAATGGTCGGGGGCTCTTTTAGCACTTCTATAAACTCTTGGACTAAAACAGCTCAATGTAAAGAGTTTATAACTATTTTGGCACTCTACTCTATATTTTTCACTTTTTTGAATTCTCAATGATTTGATTGTTACACGTGTAAGTATATCAGTCTGACAGTTAAAAAAAGTTAGCATTGGTGCTCGCTTTGTAAATACATAACTTTTTGAGGCAATATTTGTAACAAGGGCCCATTTACATACATGCCACACGATTTTTATGAATTTACATATCTAACATCTGGACTTTCAAATTTACATTCATAATGACCAAACATTTGATATGATATCAGTAATATCATTATTATTTGCTTTCTAAAGTAAAATGCACCTTTTCTCAAACACACAAATCCATAAGAATCTGGTATGCATGTAAATCTCCCAAAAATTTTTGAATATTTCTATTATTTACATGTATTTGATTTAATATATTTTTATTTATAAAGTTATATATAATATGCATATGTTTGTATGTATTTATGCAAGTGCTTATGTCAGCTTGGAACATAATTGTCTGCCCTATAATTAATCATTAAATTAATTACAATTCCAACCATATGATTTGCAATACGGTTTTATCCTCCCATCTATAAATTGTTTTCACTTTTTTGGTTTTCATTTCCTTATTTGAATCTGAATCCTCTGCTGTTTCTTTACAGGAAGATCTGCCTTAGTTTTGGGATAAGAAAGCATTCAAAAAGCTGAGATGTTCTTCATTCGCTATATATAGTCTTATTTTATTGTCATTATTATTATTATTATTATTATTATTATTATTATTATTATTATTATTATTATTTTGAATTTGAATGCTGTATATACATGAAATCATGATAAATTTCATTTGGTAAGCCTTTTTTTTAATTCAGAATTTGAAGGCTGTATATACATGAAATTTTATCCTTCATAATATGCATAAATTTTGTCCAATGGCCTTCTTTTGAGTAGATATAACTGTATATAGTGGCAAGAGTTATAACAATGGTGATCAAATCATCAAATCATTAAAAGAAGTGAATGTTTTAGATATCTCGGGCCTATTGTTCAAAATGATGGGGATATTATTAGTAGAATTCAAGTTGGATGGTTGAATTGGAGTAATGCATTGGGTTTATCGTGTGATAGAAAAGTGCTGCTTAGTCTTGAGTATTCCTAAGATGACAATGCTTAGGAGGGTGAGGGGCTTGGCAATTAGAGACAAAATGCAAAATGAATGTATCTCTCAAAGGGTTGGTGTAGCGCAAGTGGTAGATAAGGACAAAATAAGAGAAAGTGTCTTAGATGGTTTGGACACATTAACCGTCAACCATATGATGATCTGATTAAGAGAGTAGATGATTTAGATTCGTTTTATGTTAAGAAATGTAGAGATAAATCTAAAAAGTTTTGGACATGCATAAAAAATGATCTTAATTTATTAGAATTAAATGAAAATATGACACTCAGAAAGCACATAATGCAAAAAAAGGATTCATGCAGTGGACCTCACTTAATAAGGTTGAATTATTAGCATCTTTCTATGCATATTTTACTCAAATGAAACTTTCTCAAAAAATTAAATAATTTATATGAATTGGTTCCATTTGAGTTTTAGATTATTCTGCATGTTGTAAAGCATCAATATTTTATTTTGTATCCCAAAGAATAATTTTCCCAAGTACTTTGTTGAGTATTAATTGAATGTTAATATCTAATGAAAGGGATGCAAAATGATCAATTTTGTGTTCATATTTATCATGCATATGCATCATCAACATATGTTTCTTTTAATTTTAATTGTAATGAGAACAATCTAATTGCAATAAGAAAATAACAACATTTCCTTTTCTTCTCAATTGATCTGCATTTCTGCAATACCAACTTAGATTCTGAAAAATATGAACGACTCTGTATTTTTTTAGAATTACACCTCTACCTGAAATTAGATATTACATTATAGCTTAAACCCTAAACTATTACATCCACCACATTAAAAAAAATAATTATAATTTTTATCTTATATACTTTCAACAAACATAAATCTCAAACAAAATTATACATTATAACAGATACTAAAAATGAAAACCATATGTGACTTTTCTTGCTTATTATTCATGTTATTGTCATGAGCAATAAATAACTAACAACTTAGCTAATTAACTATAAGATTTCAGATTATAATAACAGAAACATATGTAACTCATGAAATACTCTTACGGATTTTGCAAGTGCGCGTGCTTATGAACTGCTCTTGACTTCCAGGCTTTATAGTCATCATCACTCAACATTACCTCAACCTCCTCAAATGGCAAACCTTTTGTTTCTGGCACCAGAAAGAAGATGAGGATTAGAGCGACGAATGAATAACAGGCAAACAACACGAATGTGTTGGCCGTTCCAATCGCCTTTGTCAGACTCAAGAAAGTTTGTGTAACGATCAGGTTCGAAATCCAGTTTGCAACAGCAGCCATTCCTCCACAAAGACCTCTGAACCTTAAGGGATATATCTCAGAATTGACAATCCAGGGGGCTGTTCCCATGCCGGGAGAGTAAGAAATGATGTAAGCAGCAAGACTGATGAGCGCAATCCAGCCAAAGTTGCTCGGACAACCTTGAGTGTACCAGTTTCTGTGTTCACTTTGGCAGGCTTGTTTCATGGGTTCATTCGCTTCAGGGTTGGCCAAGCAAGCACCAGCTAGAAGCTGCATTTTTCCTTTAAGAATATTAGAAATACATCAACTTTATAAATGTAAACATCATTAAAAAAAAAAAAAATTTGAAGCAGTTGGAGCTGAGTTCTAATACTAAGTTTAGTAAAAAATGGATAAAAATGAGGTAACAAATACTTCTGAAATTAATTGTGGTGCAAATCGCAAACAACAGTCGAGTGCATTCGACAAAATATAAAATACGTAAGCATGTTAACCTGCCTTATTGTGTCCATTAGAACAGAATGAGCACTGAGCCTTCAAGCAATCTGTGCAGCTCCATTGATTGCCTGAAGCTGGATTATAAGCAGAGCAAGTCAAATTGCTAAAATGTTGAGTCTCCATTAAACCAACATCAGGAGATTTCACAGAAGCAGCATAGAAAACACCGCTCAAGACAGCCAACCAGATGATGATTCCACATAAGCTGAAGAGCATTAGTCTTCTTCTACCAGATCGATCGACGAAATACATGCTTACAATGGAACCAACAGCATTAAGACCAGAAGTGATAAGAGAGAGCGCCAAAGCAGTTGAATTTGAAGCATAGCCTGCTAATTGAACAATAGTAGGAGCATAATACATTACTGTATTGATACCACAAAATTGTTGAGCCACTTGACAGAGAATGCCAGCAACAAGACCCCTACGAACCATTCTTGTTGTCCATGCCTTTCTCACTTTACCAAATAGACTGTATTCACCGACGGCACCTTCCTCAGCAATTTCAGATTCGACAGATTGGCGCAAAAGTTCGAGCTCCCTTGGAACCTCCTCTGCAGAGTAGATTCTCTTCAAAATTGTTTCAGCACTTTTCTTCCTATCCTGCTCATTAAGAAATGAATAAATTGATTTTTTTTTTTCATAACCAATGCAACAAAATTTTGTCAGTAGAAGACTTTAATTGCACTAGAATATAATTATGATTCCAGTGTAGAAACCATCAAAATGTTTGGAATCAAGTACATTGGTTATTGAGAATATATAGCATGTAATGTATGGATGAGATTAATGAACTAAACGAAGCAAAACTAGTTTATTAAAAGGCTTCTATATGCTGTCTTATCATCCTATTTTCTTAAAATATCTGATTCAAAAAATATATATTGAAATACGAATCACAACCCCACCACCACCAAAATCTATTTTTTTAGATTATAGGCCATAATCAACAGCAAGACCTTGATTTTAAAGCCGAAGTGCATAAAAATTTTAAAAAAAAAGGACTTTCTCCTATGTAGAGGAAAAGAAAAGCCCTTATATGTATCTAACTATATAAAAAAAAAACAATCAAATTTTAAGGGAGACTGTAGGATAAAAACAAGGTATGACCTTCCTATACAACCATCTAGGAGATTCAGGAAGCACCAACATGAGAAGAAATTGGATTAAAGCAGGAAGTCCAGCAATTCCAAGCATCCACCGCCACGTCCCAGGAACCTACAACAATGAAAACTTCCTGTCAACGTAATGGTTCTATGTTAAGTTTGACGAAATAAGTAGAATATAAACATCCTATGGAGCAATTGATATTGTTAGTACCCTGGTGAAAGCAAGATTAATAAGATAAGCGAGGAACTGCCCTCCTGTGATTAGTAAACCATTTAAGCTAACTAGAGCTCCTCTGATTTTGTGAGGAGAAGCTTCAGAAATGTACAGTGGTGCCGTCATTGAAGCCATACCAACTCCAAGGCCAACAAAAATTCTTCCAAGGATTATAATTCCAGGAATAGGAGCAACTGCCATTATTATAGCTCCAACAAAGAACAAAATATCAGCAAAAAGAATTGATATCCTTCTTCCGAGTTTGTCATTCATCCATCCACCAAATGCAGCGCCAATGATTGCACCAGCAACAGCCATACTGACAATAGTTTCCTGTGGCACAATAAGCAAAACCAAAGATTATAGCTTGATTTCATTCACATATAAACTTTAATAAAATTATTTAACATTTCATGAGCAACCAAGCAAAACGTACCTGGAGAACAGTGCTTCTCTCAACTTGCTTAAAGTCATCGCGAATATAAAGAAGTGCACCAGATATGACACCTATACCAGACAAACTATGAGTAATAATCATCACTGACCGTGATGGAGAAAACTATTTTGCACTTTTTATTTTTGTGAGATCCAGTTTAGAAGACTTCAAAAAAGTAACAGTACGAAATTTATCTGTTACTTTATCAAGTCACTTGTAATTATTTGCACAAATTAAAGCAAACATGAATATTAGAGGAACGGTGTAATAGTACCGGTATCATAGCCGAAAAGAAAACCACCAATACCAGCTGACAGTGCCAGTTGCAAGATGTATGGCCTCGTAAAACTCAAGCGAAGGCACTCCTTAAATTCAGTAGAGTCTGCCTGGTGAGGACCACCTTCCATCTTCCTTGCTTAATACCACTAATAGATTTATTTATAAGAGGACAGAGAGCACCAATATCTCAACCCAGAGTCTGTATCGTCATGAACAAAATTAGTCAGTGAGCGCTGAATATCACCAAGAAATCAAATTTTGCAAAAGCAGCAGAGTTAATGTACAGCTATGTTCTTGAAAAAATAATAATAGTAATAAATTTATGTTGAGGTTGTGAAGATTTTCATTTAATTAAGCACAATTGCTCAAAGTTCACATCCCAAGGTATTTAGATCAACTGAGAAGGTTGAATTGAACACAAATTACAGATTTAAAAATTAAATGGGAAAGCAAACAAACTCTAAATATAGTTATAGTAAAAACAAATTTCTCACCATAATGAACATCATGAACATTTGATTTCAAATTTCTTCTTGGATTGAACCGACAGAGCCAGCCAACGCGGGACCAAACTAGCTGGTACAACTTTCTCCTCGTCCTTCCTTTAATGAACAGGAGACCGTGCAAATGAAATGAAGAGGTGGGCAACACCTTATTGGGTAGCCACTCAGTTGGCCCCCCAACATCCATTCTATTTATGGATCTGTTGGTGCTTTCCGATCACAATAAACACATCCATTTACATGCAACCAGTCTAATTATATATGAACTTATAGAAGCTATTACGACCACTAAAGGCTTCCATGTTACAAGATATTTGCAGTGTATGATTAAATTTGAAGTGGTGAACAATTTGATTAATAAATAGCAACTATCATCACTATTTTTTGGTGGCCCAAAATTGTATCTATAATTTCTCCAAATTATCAATATTAATCAGAAAGTCAATTTTATTTTGTCAAACTCCATTGCATTTTTTTCACGTTGAGAGCAACATCGACAGTATACGTTGTTGCTCAACTAACTTGAGCCTAGCCCGAGCAAACTGATTAGGTTGACCGAACAATAGGATTGTCCAATCACTTTCTAACAAGCCAAGGACACAATATGGTGAATTTGTCACTAGTAAGAATAAAAATATTCAAATATAATATTGAACAAGGTTAATATATCCCTCAAAATCTATAAAGAGACCTCAAATCTATAATTATCATTTCAAATAATCTGAACAACGAAAAGATAATGAATTTCAAAACTCTAATCATACCTTGAAGCTCTAGGCTGCTTAGTCTAAGCTATTTTATTCAAGAGAAACAATATTTTAAGTACCTCTAATCACTCACCAATCAGTTTCTCAATTCGAACTCTCCATTCAGGATGACTATCTCGACCGCCTCTAATCGCACATTGATTGTAGCCTGCTCAACTCCTTATTTTAAGGTGAAGGGTCGTCTCAATGACCTCCAGTCATCCATTGACTCCAAGTCAGTCAGTTCAAGGGGAGTATCATTACTGTCTTTAATTACTTCTTGCCTCTAAGTCACACGATCCACCCCTTCATTCGAGATAAGAAATATCCCAATTGCCTCTAATCCTTGGCCAACACCAAGTCATTCCACCACTCTGCCCACGAGGATAGACTAAACCACCTTTAATCACTTGCCAGACCCTAGCCCTTCAATCCCCCTTCTTTCAAGAGAGAGATTACCCAACTAACCTTTATCACTAACTAGAGCAACACGTTTTAATTTTCTTTATCGACATCTGAAATTTTGGAAATATTAAATCATTATTATTGTCTTTCATGACTTCAATGCATTGCCGCATAACTTCTTTTAGGTGTGTTGTGTCCACTTCCAAAGCACCTATCTGACCACCATCACTAGCCTTCATAAGATTCCTATATCACCATATTGCTGCATTCAAATAATATTATTTTCATGTCCAAAGAAAGGACAAATATTATCATCTTTAACAGCCTTTCAACACTGCTAAATCACTGTCTCCAAGCCGAGTCATCTTTTCCTGTACAAAGAGCAAATCCTAACTGCCTTTAGTCAATTTTATGACTTTCCTACCATGCTATGCCATTGCCCTCAAGTAATGTTTTTTCCACTTCCAAATAGGGTTGTCCTACACATCCACAATAATCTCCTCAACCTTTTAGCATTGTCTCACTCATTGCCTCCAGGTTGTGTTGACTTTGAGTCCAAAGAAAGAATCACCTTGACCTTATATCTCATTGTGTCGCCAATATCAAAGGAAGTAACAATAGCTGGCATCATTAATTTACGTTGTATTAACAACTTCTCTCAGTACAGGAAAACATGGTCCTCCATAAGTCAAGTATAATAGGTAAAAGCTATTCTAGTTTCGCTAGCCCTGTCTTTTTTATATTTTTAGAATTTCACAAGAAAAATCATGCCGACTACTCACTTTGCTACTATGATTACGCGTGGCTTTCACTCTATGCTAAGGTGATCAAAATTTATCAATATCGACTTGACTTCTAAAAGATAATATTTTAGTGCCATCCATAGAAACCCCAGAGTGTTGGAACTATATTATCCCACATTTGGACATCAAGCTTATAGTCCAATAAAGGATAACATATCACCTCAACAGCATTATGAAAACAACCCATGAGCCTCCATAAATAAAACTAAAGCAAAAAGGTCATAGTTGAAACCTCAAAAAGAAGTTTGTGCTAGTATTTTGGGCATGATTAAAATCAAAAGATTCAATCTTCTTTCATAGGGACTGACCCTCCTCAATCTTTTAGAAATCATCACATTAAAAAATTATGGAACCTCCATAAAGTAATAAGGTCGATCGAAAAGTCTCGCCTTTTGCAGAAAGGATCAACACCTAACCTTTTGAAGTAAGGCATCATGGCAGCACAATCCAAACATACACCAACTTTAAGTCAATGACAATGGTAGCATAGCTAGCTTTAAGAGCCATTGATGTCTCACAGAGTCAAAGATATGGATTCACTATCCACACCTCTTCACATAGCATAAATGCTCTCTCAATTAACATCACTATGTAACAATGATGCTTTCTAAACAGAAGTCAATATCCCTAGTATAAGGTCCTTATTAAAAGTCTTAACAAAGAACCCTTGAGCTGTAAGCCCCAATAGGGCATGTGATTAAACAAGTTATATAACACCATAAAAAGTCCCAAAAGCATTTATATAGTAGCAATACCTAAGGAAGTTGTCGAGTAAATGTGAAATCTAACTCATCACAATTACCCAAGAATGATTCGAAGAAGACAGCCCAAGAAAGAAAATAAGTAAACAAGTACTCTTACTCCTTAAGACTTCCCAAAGTAGCTCCCAAAAAGTAGGCCTCTGAAGGTCAATGAGCAGAAAATGTTTCTATTCATTCAACAATCCTTAAGAGGCCCACCGATAACTGATCTTTGAAAGGCATCTCACATTGGACACAACTCAGTAGAAATCTCCAGAATGGCGCATCATTGAATGGGCTCTAATAAGGCAAGTGAGCACACACAATCGTCAACTAAACCAAGAAATTTGCTAAAGGCTCATAAATTCGAAGCAATAGGGTATTTAATTTTGGACAATGTCCTCATTAATAGCCCCAAGAAGGCATAAGAGCAAGCCTGTATACAGAGATTGCCTAACTCCACCAAGTATATAGAGACAACTATCAAAATCCCTGGAGTATAAGTAGACAACCTAACACTCTTAAAGCTTACAGAAACCACATAACTTCATCAAAGTTCTCAATCAATGGTTGAGTTTTTCCCATATCATTAAGGGACAACAACTTTCTTACATCATAGAAACCTGACTCTTGCACTATCAGTTTTTTTAAAAAAAAAAAAAAAAAAAAAAAAAGAGATACAAGAGGAGTTCAACCCATTTTAAGATAACATAGAACTGCAAAGCCTAAGCGGTAGCTTGATTTTTCAACAAGTTCATCTTCTTTAAATCAATTTTTCCAATGCATCTCAAATTATCCTAAAATTCAATTGACCTCTTGACCAACAAAAGATTCACTTACAACTCAGTGGACTAACTAAAACACAGAATGCAGATATTTAAAGAGATTAATCTTTCTTAGGAGGCAAATTAGAGGTTTCAATGAGTAATACAATTCAAAAAACCTCTTTCCAAATGAGCTAATGTAAGTGTCTAAAGATCCATAAACTTCTATATAGCTGATGATGAATCAAAGAAAAATAAGTTAGGTTCCAACCCCCAGTCTGCATTGATATTTAGAGAGTGGCACGCCTTCAAGTTTTCCTTAGATTGCAATTTATAGTTCAAAATTTCAAAATCCTAGGTATTTTGGAATTGCCAATTTTCACATCCAAAAGTAATGGGGAAGTTATTGGGGATTGTAATTTTTTTCCTTTTGATCAAGCAAAATCTACAATGCAAAGCACTCATCCCAAGGCATTCAGATCAACTTAAAAGCAACAAATCAATTATAAATTATATCTTCAAAAATTATTTTAGTAACTCAACTCAAAGCTCGAGCTCTATTAGAAAGCTCAAGCTTGACTCAATTGTTGAGCTCAATTTCATTCAAGCTTAATTAATGTTAGTAGAGCTGACTTGAAGAGCTATTGATTCAAGTCCGCACAAGTTCGAGCTCGAGCTCATATCAAAACTGAGCTCCAGCTCAAGCTCGAGCTCGAGCTCGTCACTTAATAAGCTCGATTTTAAAGCTCAATAACGTGTCAAATTCAAGGTAGCTCGGAACCGCTCACCTACGCCTCTTCCATCACATGAGAGCAGGGGAAAAAAAAAGCACAAGCCACTGTATCAAACAAGAATGCTTATTCAACGTGCTTAATCTCAAAGCTCGAGCTCTATTAGAAAGCTCAAGCTTGACTCAATTGTTGAGCTCAATTTCATTCAAGCTTAATTAATGTTAGTAGAGCTGACTTGAAGAGCTATTGATTCAAGTCCGCACAAGTTCGAGCTCGAGCTCATATCAAAACTGAGCTCCAGCTCAAGCTCGAGCTCGAGCTCGTCACTTAATAAGCTCGATTTTAAAGCTCAATAACGTTTCAGATCAACTTAAAAGCAACAAATCAATTATAAATTATATCTTCAAAAATTATTTTAGTAACTCAACTCAAAGCTCGAGCTCTATTAGAAAGCTCAAGCTTGACTCAATTGTTGAGCTCAATTTCATTCAAGCTTAATTAATGTTAATAGAGCTGACTTGAAGAGCTATTGATTCAAGTCCAAGTTCGAGCTCGAGCTCGTATAATATACGAGCTCAAAACTGAGCTCCAGCTCAAGCTCGATCTCGAACTCGTTACTTAATAAGCTCAATTTTAAAGCTCAATAACGAGTCAAATTCAAGGTAGCTCGGAACCGCTCACCTACGCCTCTTCCATCAAATGAGAGCAGGGAAAAAAAAAAAGCACAAGCCACTGTATCAAACTAGAATGCTTATTCAACGTGCTTAACTTTGCCAATATAATAATAACCACAGAAAAGAAGCTGCCTTTCACAGAGGAATAATAAAAAAAATAGAAAATAAGCATAACGCAAAGCAGTGGGAACATTTTAGCTCTATTTTTTTGCAGGATCTGTGCAGGATTAAAACCTGGATTTAACCTAAATCCTACCAAACAGCAAAAAGGAACTTTAAATCCTACAGAAACTTGAATCCTGTTTCTCCTCCATTGCCTTAAAGGCGAAGCTTAACTCTCATCGCACAACTCTGGCCCATTCAATGCCTTCTCTAGCTAGCTCCAGTGGAGACTTCTCCTGGTCGAAGCGAAGGAGCGGCGTGGATGGTTAGGGTTATTTGGGCATCCACTAGGGTTTCCAGCAAGAACGGAGAGAAGCCTCTAACTCTCGGGAGCGAAATGGAGTGAAGATTCGTAAGAGAAACCTCAGATTCCAGAAAAATTTATTAAGAAAAACTCGAAAATGTGCTAAGAAAACAGACAAACCTCGGATTACAGAAAAGGTTGCAATCAATGCTGCATGGAATTCAAAATCCAAAGCACCATCAAATGCAATAAGAAGCAGAACTCACAATACAAATTCAAAAATAAAATCTTTCTATGAAAAACTCACTCGGGATTCGGTTCTACCATTCCTTCGAAGCGCTGTCTGGAGAGGGGGAAAAAAAAGGAGAAAAAGGGGCAAAGAGATCGAGCAAATGGTGAGTGATGAACAAACTTGGCGGGCAACACAGATGAACATTTATGGTCATTTTCAGAGCTAAAATTGGAGGAAAAAAAATACTTTTTTTCTAGCGATAATGACGTTTTTGATAAGGAAATGAATCCTTATTAAATCTTTCAAGGATAATGATCAAATCTGATTCTGCCAAAAACAAAAAATCACACCTTTGGGTTGCTGAACGTTCTTAAATAGATAGAATTAAAAAACTGCCAAAAATAATTTTCTACATTTTGCTTTTTCAGTTTTCAAATTTGTTTTTTTCTGCCTTTTTATCTTACTTTATTTATCTATTTATCTATTTTCTTTGCTAAATATAATCAAGAGTCATGGTTTCGCTGAGTTGCGTGCACGGTTGAAATTGATTTGTATTAATGATTATATTGAGAAAAAAAACAGAAACAATAAAGTGGAAAGAGATGCACTCATCCGTTAGCATAGTGATTGAGGATTCAAAGTATTTGCAGTCTAAAAAATTTCTATATATGATATTCTTGGGTATGAGAAAATATTACATTCGACGTCCGGACGTACAGACAACAACGTAGATCACAAAATATCGTGCATCGAGCGATACAATATGATCCACACCATAGACTGCACGTCAATTTACCATATATAATATTTTCTCTGTAAGAAAAGAGCTCCTAGCAACACTAGAAGGAACAAGAAGAGAGAAGCAATGGAGTAGGGTTATCCCTCCAGATATTGTCAGCATGCGCACTTTTATTAATGGGTTAGAAACCCTAAGAAATATTGGTCATGGCTAACAACAAAACTAATCCATCCATACATGTAGTAGGGAATAAGCTCAACCATTTTCTAATTGTAATAAACATTAATTAGTTAACAATTCTAAATAGAACCATAGAGAGCATTACATCATTTGGTTAGAAGATTAGGACATCAAATAGTTGTCTAATGGATTTCATTTTATAATAAAACATATTGAGAACATTTAGCAAAATGATGATGTTGCATATGTCTTTAAATTTAAGCATGATAATCTAATCTTATAAAATCTATGCATCTGATTAGTAGATCGATAATATAGATTGACTAAGAGCAACATATATTAGCAATACAGTGGATGAAAATGTTGATCGTTCTTAAAGACTGTACATTCATTGCCATTAAGGCACAATAAATGCACATACCATAAAATTAAAAAAAATATATAAACGACATGATTTTTTTTTTTTTCTAACTCTTTTATCACTACATTATAATAGAGAACTAGAATGTCAATAAGGAATAAATAAAATGGAGGAGTAAAAATATTAGCAAATTATTATCTCAATAAGGATAATTTTATTACTAAGTAACTATCTATTATTCATATATCATTATGTCATATGTGTAGGTATGTATTTTTTGAGAAGTTATGTTATATCTTCTCCTTTGTCATACAACTTCTAAATAAAAAGTCTTTCTTAATATATATATATATATATATATATATAT